TTTTTTTTGCATGAGTTCATAATCTGAATTGATATGTAGAAGCGGTAGGTCCAATTTTCGGGTTCCTTGATGTCAGTTGACATCTTTCTCTACTCTTTTTTAGTTTTTTTTATTTATATAAGTGTTTGTCATTTAAAAAAAAATAAAAAAAATTATATATATATACATACTTATATGTCCAAATATTACATTTCAAATAATATATAAATGAAAGTATAATATTTTATTCAAATATGATATTTTAACTAAAATATAAATAAAAATGTGATATTTCATATTATAATGATGCATTTTATTGTAAAGAAAAGAAAATACAAATGTCTAGATACTATGAATAAAGTGCAAATTCATGAACTTCAGGGGCAATATTACAATTACTATACATTCTCATATATCAGCCCGCCAAGCTTTCTTCCCCCATTCTCAATATCGCGGCAGCCCTAATTTTTGCAGAGTGTGTGAAAAAACACAATTTTAAGAGCTCTCTTTTTTTTTGTGCATATAGTCACACATTCCCAAGGCAAAAGCACAAGACAATGAGAGATAACTTGCCGGTGAAGCTTCTTCACGAGGCGTCGGGCCACGCGGTGACGGTGGAGATGAAGAGCGGCGAGGTGTATCGTGGGATCATGATTGAGTGCGAGGATAACTGGAATTGCCAGCTCCAAAACATCACGTACACTTCTAAGGTACTTCTAGCCATTGAATCGTGCGCGCGTTAGTAGGATTTGTAATGCTTCATTCGTTTTTTCGCGCAGTTAAACCCTAGATAAATTGATCGTCGACCCCAGTCGTCGCAGAGGGGAATTAGGTATAGTGTGATGTTATGAAGATGGTTCTGTGTTTTTCTTTTAATTTGAAATTTTTCTGGAAAGGTCTGCTAAATCCTGGTTAGACGTTGGAACCTGAAACTGGGAGCTGTTTTTTGCTGCTTTTGCCGGCTTATGGGATTGTGAGTTTCAGTTTTATAATTTCCATGTAAGTAAGTTATTGCTGTTTATAATTGAATGTATCAAAGTGGCAGTCCGAGTTGTGTAAGTCTTTTCTTAGGATTGTAGGTGTTAGTATAAATTTGTAATTTTATGGTTGAACTATAGTACATGTTCGTCGAACCCCAGACACAGGATGCCGAGTGATAAAATCTACTTTCTCTGTTGTGATTTTATCAAATTGTATAACTTATTGCTTCTCTAATGTGTGGCTGAGTTTCGCTGAATGTGTTGAGTATGATCATATTAAATAGATAGCCTTTGAAATAGTTTTTCATTGCATTACTTTGGCCTAAGTGTTCTATTTAGAATTTATTCATTCTGCTGGAGAACCAGTGGTCAATGTAATTTCGCTGGCTCCAAGTGTATCCTACATTTGAGCCCTACGAGAAGATGTTAATAGAGAATGTGTTTGTACTTCAGTTTTCCTACCTAAAATTTGTTGAAAACAATTATCATACTATTTCACGAATCACAGTTGTCAGTTAGATCTGCATGAGAGCAAATGCTCATATCAGGTCCTGTTGAAGTTCCTAATTGTATGTTTTCACTGTAATTCAATCTCTAACTGTTATCAGCGGATATTTTTTACCAAGATTCTATATTTGTAGTCTCCATTCTACTTGCGTGCTTGTCGATTGAATCTAACCTCATGGCAGCTCATGTCTTTAGTTACATCGAAAGAAATATATCTAATGTTCATAAGATTAAGCATGTTATGGCATTCTTGAACTTTCCCATTCCAGTTTTTTTTCTAGCGAATGAACATCTAATGTGATCAGCAATATTGCAGGAGGGGAAGGTCTCACAGCTCGAACATGTTTTCATCAGAGGCGGCAAAGTAAGGTGGGTACTCATTTTCTAGCGCCCGTTTGCATCAATTTTATTTTGATTGTTATTCATGCAAAAGCTTTTGTCAGGTTCATGGTTATTCCGGATATGCTAAAGAATGCTCCAATGTTCAAGCGCTCGGAAGCTAAGATCAAGGTAGCATTCAGGCGCTCCACATTTATCCATTTTAGCATTACCTATCACAATTTGGTTATTCATTTTTTGTTTCCATCTCTAAAGGGCAAAGGTTCTGCAATTGGAGTTGGACGTGGGCGTGGTGTTGCTATGCGAGCAAGAGTAAGTCTTTCTTCTTTTGCTAAACACCATTTTTGGGTGTGAATTTTGTGCTTTTGATGGGTTATTTGTAGTTTTAGTTAGTTGCATGCACAAACCTTTAAAACAAGGAAGGGTTTTTTCCTGGTTTGGCTTTTGCAGACCATTAAATCATCCATGCTACTTGCTCAAAACACTCACCCTTTTGAATTTTAAGTACTTTTTGCTTATATTTGCAAATGTTCCAGCTTTCGATTCTCAAGTACATTTTGCTTGTGCTACAATGAACATCTATAAAAGGCCTTATTTTCTTTCAGCATGATGGATAGTCTCGATCTCATTTCGTTAAATTTTTTGGCAGGCTCAATCGGCTGGCCGTGGAGCTCCTCCTGCTGGAAGAGGTGCTGTGACACCTGTCAGGCGGTGATCTTACCGACACAGTTAGCTTTCCTGTGTGGTCTGAGATAATGACTTTCTCCAAGCATCTAATCGAGTTTTGAGATACCCGAAAGTGATTTTTTATTCTTTTTTTCTTCTGCTGCAACTGAAACTAGTATTATTATCCGTAGCCGTGTAGTATGAGGAAGATTGCATTTACGAATTGTACTGCCTTTGTTTAGAAAATTGATGTTCTTGATAATCAGTAAAACGAAAGTTTTAAATGATTCGACTTTGTTTCAGTTTATTGGTTAAAATGCTTCCAAATAAATACTTTTAATGCATACACATTAAACAAACTGAAGAGATATTACAACCAAAAAATGGAAAAACAGCTACGTATAAGCCACCCAAAAAGAGTGTATGCACAACTTCACAAGCAGTCAAACTTTGTATTAGTGTTTTAAATACCATACCGGTTATTATAGGACGAGCCAACGGTACGCGGTTCAACTGGTTTTACCGTCTATTTTATCGATATTAATAAATATTAAATTAATTTGTTATTATAATATAAATAATGTACAAAATTAACTTTAGTTAATACTAAAATTAATTAACATCTAATAACAATGTAAAAATATTAAAATGAAGTGTAAAACTTTCAATTTATATGAGAAAATTAATAAAAATATATTAAACTATTTTTTTTACAAAAATTGGCATAAACCGGTATTTTGACCGATATTTTGGCAAAAAGGTATTAGAGTGTAACTGCACCGGTCGAACTACCGGTATCCGTATTACCGGTAATACCAGCCGATACGGTATGATATTAAAAACATTGCTTGGTTCAGCTCAACGAGCTTGACTTTCTATGGCTCAACTTGGTTTAACGGAAAAAATCTCGGCTTAAATTTTAACCGCTCAAATTTCATTTGAGCTCGGTCAATCTAGAGTCGAACCTTGACTTGAGCGCTAGGAGATTCGTTTGTTGGGAGATGAAGGAAGCTTTCGACATTTATGAAGCAATAAGGCTCAGTCAAGATGAGTTTGAACCCAATCAGAATCCGTTTGAACCCACACGCAAATGATGGGCCTTGAGCCCATTAAACGGCCCAGAGTACACACCCGTTCCAATGAACCTCACCACACACTAACACCACTCCACCTCCGTCAAAAAACCCTGAACCCTAATATCATCTGCAACCCTCCGCCTCTAAATAAAGTCTCATTCTCCATTTCCCACACAGTAAACCCCCACAAAAAACCACCACCGAACGCCGCCGCCGCCGCCGCCGCCGCCATGGCTGAACTTCAAGCATCCCACCCCGAGAAGACGAAGAAGAAGAAAAGCAAGTCCAAGGACGAACCGGAGGAAGAACCCCAAAACGACGCCGTCGACTACCTGATAAAGCCGCAGAGCTACACCCCCGCCATCGACACCTCCCAGTGGCCGATCCTCCTCAAGAACTACGACAAGCTCAATGTACGAACCGGACACTACACCCCTCTCCCCTCCGGTTACTCCCCTCTGAAGCGCCCACTCGCCGAGTACATCAAGTACGGCATCCTCAACCTCGACAAGCCTGCGAACCCCTCCTCCCACGAGGTCGTCGCATGGATCAAGCGCATCCTCCGGGTCGAGAAAACCGGTCACTCGGGCACTCTCGATCCGAAGGTCACCGGGAACCTGATCGTCTGCATTGATCGGGCCACCCGCCTGGTGAAGTCCCAGCAGGGGGCTGGAAAAGAGTATGTCTGTGTGGCCCGGCTGCACTCAAAGGTGCCGGAGGTGTCAAAGGTTGCCCGAGCTCTCGAAACTCTAACAGGTGCGGTTTTCCAGCGTCCTCCTTTGATTTCAGCTGTCAAGAGACAGCTTAGGATTAGAACTATTTACGAAAGCAAGCTGCTTGAGTACGATGTCGATAGGCACTTGGTCGTTTTCTGGATTTCTTGCGAGGCTGGGACCTATGTGAGGACTCTGTGTGTGCATTTGGGGCTTTTGTTGGGTGTGGGAGGGCATATGCAGGAATTGAGGAGGGTTCGTTCGGGTATTTTGGGGGAGAAGGACAATATGGTCACTATGCATGATGTGATGGATGGGCAGTGGGTTTATGATAACTCCAGAGACGAGACGTATCTTAGGAGGGTGATTATGCCATTGGAGGTTCTTTTGACTAGTTATAAGAGGCTTGTGGTGAAAGATTCTGCTGTTAACGCCATTTGTTACGGTGCAAAGCTGATGATTCCCGGTTTACTGAGGTTTGAGAATGATATAGAAGTTGGTGAGGAAGTTGTGTTGATGACAACAAAGGGTGAGGCAATTGCGCTCGGGATTGCCGAGATGACGACAGCTGTCATGGCCACGTGTGATCATGGGACTGTGGCTAAGATCAAGAGGGTCGTGATGGATAGGGACACGTACCCTCGGAAATGGGGTTTGGGCCCACGGGCTTCTATGAAAAAGAAGATGATTGCCGAGGGGAAGTTGGACAAGCATGGGAAGCCGAACGAGAGCACACCGGCTGAGTGGCTGAGGAATGTTGTTCTGCCCACCGGAGGGGATTCGGTGGTAGCAGGCCTAGCGGCTTCTGGCGTGGAGCCTCAGCCGGCCTTTGAGGATGGTGATATGAAGAAAAAGAAAAAGAGTGAGGAAGTGGGTGAGGAGGGGCGTAAGCGTAAATTGAATGATGTGGATATCGATAGTCCTTTGACCGAGAGTGCTGTTAAGAAGGTTAAAGTGGAAAGTGAGGAGGTTAAGGTAAAGGCCGAGAATGTGGATTTTGAGGAATCTGGGAAAAAAGAGAAGAAAAAGAAGAAGAAGAAGAACAAAGAGGGTGCCGATGAAGGTGAGGTGGTCTCTGATGGTGAGAAATCTAAGAAGGATACAAAGAAGGATGAGAGTGTCGTCGCATCTGATGAGGAGAAATCCGGAAAGAAGAAGAAGAAGAGTAAGAAGGATAAGAAAGCGGAAAATGGGAACTTGAGTGTTGGGCCTGATGCTGATGATGATGGAGCAAGCAAAAGTGAGAAGAAGAAGGAGAAGAAGAAAAAGAAGCACAAAGATGCTGAGCAGGAGTGAGGATATAAAGGCATGGGGTTCTGCAGTCGAGAAGTGGCATGTGATCTTGATATCGATGTGTTATCTGAATACAACGTGGCCTCTAGGAAGCGTTTCTCTCTGTTTGAGAGGGACATTCATTCATTCGGCTTGGCTTTACTCAAGAGTTTGATCGTTAACTTGGTCTAGCAGCATGTCACTCTTGATGTTTTTTTTTTTATTAACTTTTGGTTTTCAGTTTTTTCGTAATGTTTATGTACTTTATCATCCGGTCCGGATGTCTTTCGATAGACTTCAATAGCAATATTATCTTGTCATATGTTATGTTTGGATGTTCCTGTGGATTTTGGGTTTAAATTTATGGCAATATGCTGTTGCTGAGTCTTTCTATATGGATGAATGTAGAATGTAGGTGGCAAAGCTTGATTCAGAATGGAAGCATAGAACGTAGCTTGATACTTATCTCCCACTTTGAGACTGAAAAGTGGTTTTAATTCTCAAGTCTGCCCTTGTCTAAATTCACATCATCAACATCAACATACCTAATATATTCCAACAGGTTGGGGTCTGGGGTGTCAGTTGTACGCAGACCTTACCTTTATAATTATACAATGAGGTTGTTTCCAAGGTTGTTTCCATAGCGACCCAAGGTGAGTTGCGTCGTTTGATATATTTTTTCTAGAAACTTCACTAATAGAAGAAACACTAGAATTTAATTGAGTCATATTAATCTAGTCCATTATTAGCACTATGCCAGGAGAATTGTCAACAATACTCTTCCAGCTCCATGTGCAATGGACATACCTTGTCTAAATTAAGGGCTTAAAAACTAAATCTTGGGGAATTTGAACATTTTGAGTCTTGACTTATGTTGCAAGGGAAAAACTACATCTTGTGGAGTTGACCATCTTCTATTAATGGTTGGTGAGTAAATATATTGGTACATGACCATTTGTATAGTTGTTTTTGAAACCTTAAGTTATCATAAATACTTTAACTACGTGTTTTTTTTTGTTTTTGTTTTTTTTTT